AGCCCCCGGTGGCCTCCCCGGCGGAGTCGGACGAGGAGAGCCGGCAGAAGGCCCGGCCGCGGACGAAGATCTCCGTGGAGGCCCTGGGCATCCTGCAGAGCTTCATCCAGGACGTGGGCCTGTACCCGGACGAGGAGGCCATCCAGACTCTGTCGGCGCAGCTGGACCTGCCCAAGCACACCATCATCAAGTTCTTCCAGAACCAGCGGTACCATCTCAAGCACCACGGCAAGCTGAAGGACAACTCCGGCCTCGAGGTGGACGTGGCGGAGTACAAGGAGGAGGAGCTGCTGAAGGATCTGGAGGAGGGCGCGCAGGACAAGGGCGCCGGCGGCCTCTTCTCCGTGAAGCTGGAGGAGGAGCTGGCGGGCCAGGGCGACACGGACCTCGGCGCCGACCTCCGGGACTGAGGCCCGGCCGCCGGCCTCCCCTGCGCGCGCCCCGGCCCGGCCCGGCCCGGCCCGGCCCGGCCCGGCCCGGCCCGGCCCGCCCCGGCCTGGCGCGCGGCGCGCGGGGCCTCCAGACTGCGCTCGAGCGGGCCCGCCCGGGCTCTTCAGCTTTGTGTTCACGGGCCGCGCCGACGTGTGTACCCCGTAAGCATGAAACCCGTGATCTTTTCTTTTTCTTTGGGAGCGATTCCCATTCTGGAGCCTCAGACAAGCATTATAACTTCTGTGATGATGATTTCTCTCCTTTAATGATTTCGGCAGCACTCCACACTGATCTTTGGAAACTCGCCCCTCATTTTAAAAAGAAAAAGGAGAAACGAGAGTTTGATACTCTGTTGTAGGTTACAAAAGAACTAAAGACTGTGGAATGCAGTTTAAAGATGACATATGCCAACAAATGCCTTGTAGTATATGGCACTGCCGTAATTCAGATGTGTTTTTATTTTGGAGATAAAAGTTCGCTGTAATTTTTTTTTTTTTTTTCGTTCTCATTGTTACATGATTTTTTTTAAAAAAAAAAGGAAAAGAAAATGTGAAACACAGTTTAGTCCTCGTTATTATTTATTTGTAGGTCCTGCAGCAATCATGTTGTAATTAATTTTTTGGAAGTTTCCGTTAAATGTGATATTGCTTCTCTTGTTACCATACTGATTCTTTTTCTATTTATAAATGTATTTTGATGGGCAGTAAAACAAAGTGTCTTAAAAGTTTTAAATAGAGAAAATGTGCTTTACACAGTTGCCTATAAAAAGTGCTCTATGTTATCCAAGCAATTCATACTATAAGCTTCACTCTTATTGTTGTATGCAATTTTTACTATCATGCAAATAAGCTTAGGTAAATAAAACTAATAGATCACCTTAGAAAATTATGCAATTAATGTGAAAATAATTGATGTTTGCAATGTGTCTTCCTTTGGTTTACAATCAATTTTAAAGCTACATCTGTATAAAATTTCTGTATAAAGGTGTATTTCTTTTTTATGAGTTTATGGCTATGAAAACACCAGCTATTTTGTTACAGCTGGCTGTTTTTATAAGTGTATCACAATTTTCTTTATGCAGAAATGTTCTGATTAGGAGTGGTTATTGACTGTAACTACACAATTAAAATTGTTTGTATGGTATGACATGGTAGGGTCTGTCTGCTTATGTGAAGTAACTTGGAAAAAATGAGTCAGAGGATGGCCCTCACTTAGGTGCATGTTCATACTTTCTGGACGATATTTTACTGATTTCAAAAAGAGCAGTTGAAACATCACTTGAAACACTAAATTTAAATCACAAACACGTGCTCATTTTTAAATAGGTATGAAATTTCACAGTGAAAATGATGACCTGCTGTTGGCTACCATTTTGCTTAGTAAAGATGTTGATCACAAAAGTCTCCCACAAAAACATACATCCAGTCTCTAGCAGTTATGTGTTTAGAGTGAATTCATCTGCATTTATTTCACAGCGCTTCAATTATGGCAACACTTTTCCTTGAGCTGATGTAGAAGTGTTTTTAAAGGCCTTTAATAGTACCAGAAAATAAGTAGGGGGGAAAAAAATGGACCTTTTGTATAAAAACTCCTTAGTAAGCATCTTTTTTTTCTTTTTTTGAACAAGTTGTAAATGGAATGAGTTAATAACTGAGCTAATTGGGTTGTATATGTCCTAACTATACAACTGTAAGTACTACACGAAGAAAATAAGACTAACACACCTGGAATTTAAACACAATCTTCAAAATTCATGCAACGTGAAACTTAGTAAGCATCAGGATATACAATGAAGTGTGCTGACAGTCACAGACAGGGTTGAAGCCAGCACTGTGGTTTTGGTGATTTTTTTCTTTTTTCTTTTTCTCAGTTTATCTTTTGCTTCCTCTGTTTAAGTTTTCCTAGATGTTAACAGGAGTGTCTGGGGTTTTGGAGATGTGGTTCTGCAATTGCCTCTTCTGTCTGCTTTTTCTCAGGCCCTGATGAGTGCCTTGATGGGCACTTGGGCTGCTTGAACTCTGAGGTTTGTCCTTAAGAAACTGAATGAGAATCAATAAAGCTTTAACATTCCGTTGGCATTTGAAGCTCTGCTGAACCACTCTGAAGGCAGCCAGTTTGTTGCAAACTTAAAATGATATTAAAAAGCGTCCACGTCTATTAAATGAGAAAACAACTCTTATATGTTCTTGCTCACTAGAGTTCAGAAAAGTAATGATTTGAGCCAAAGGAATTTGAATTAAGAAAACAAAAACTACATTTCGTGTTTTAAAAAAGTAGAAACTAGAATGCATCTTCCGTTTCCCCAAGTTTAAGGGAAAAGGCAAGATACAGCAGACAGTAGAATTGATGTCTTATTTTAACCAGCCCACCCCGTGTTAACATAAGGTGGCAAATAGGCATGAAATTTAGTAACTTTTCTGGAAGGAGAAACTGGGTTGCGAATACAATTTTTCTATTCCTGATAACCTCCTAAATTCTTTTGAAATAGCGTCTTCAGTGAAATGATGAATGTGTGTTGGAAATCATCGTAATGCTAACAGAATTCTCACTTAGATCTCTTAATATTTTAAAGTCAGCCCGGTTTTGCTAATTTGATATTTTAAGCCACCCCCACCCCCCACCCCAGCACACGTTAATAAAGGATGATGGCGAGTAGAATAAAATTGTTTCAGGGAAGATGGCACATTTTAGAAAAGCCTCGGCCGGGTGATCTTGCTCCCTGGGGGGTCAGTTCCATCCTCCTCTTGTGGCCTGTGGCTGTAGGGTAAAATTCCTTTCACAAGCCCCATTGTGTCCAAGTATTTCAGAGACTTACAAGCTGGACATGACATAGCGCTTCGTGCTGTTAAGACCTTAGCAGAGTCAGGTAGTTTACGGGTAATATTCAACCTTGTGCTTCTGAATCTGTCATGGATTCCTTCACTCAGCACTTTGCCACTAATTTGTATTACACTCTGTGGCCATATAATACTTGCACATTATGCAAAAAATAATGTTGATATTATCTCCTTGCCACACAATATGCAGAGTTGACACATAACCTTTGAAAACCAAGGTAACTAATATGTGTGCCCTAGTTGTGTGGCACTTGGTAATAAAGTCTGTACATACTGTGTATAAAATGTGTATTGATTAGCATTTAGTACTAAGGAATTCTGAGCCGAAGTGTTTTTTTTTTCCCAAAGTCGTGATATCTATATCTGTGTTTATTTAAAAATACATAGCTTGAATAGCAAACATTTTCCAATGGTTCCAGATGGAGTAAAGGTGAGAATTCCATACATTCCATGATCAAATTCTGCCCTTTCCCCAATTGTTAGCATCTGGCTGATATGAAGGGCCTTGATTGTCACAGTATTCTCAATAAATGAGATATTCTGAACTGCCTGGTGATATTTTCAAAAAGAGCAACTGAAATGTGTATTCCCTGTAATACAACTGACAGAGAAATAAGACTATTGTGTTAAAGCAAGCTGGACATTTGCATGATAGAGTTCCAAAAATACTAATCATATCCACAATATCAGAAAAGAGCGATACTATAGTCTACCTTAAGGATTAATATTTTTGACTTTTTATGGGGGCGCATTATGGATTCAGCGTTTCTTCTGAGGCAGTCCTTTTCATGTAAATACTACTTGCATGTCTTTTAACAAAGACTAAATGACAACCTGTCAATATGCACATTTTTGATAAAATACAAAGTTCCCTAATTAAAGAAATGTGGTGCGAGGTGTATGTCCAAAATCCTATACCTGTTCAACAATACCAAATGTTAAATAAACATAGTTTGAAATTATGTTTAAGAGATGAGCAACATTTTTAAGACTTTCTTACGTTATCCTACATATGTGGAAGATACAGATCTCCAGATTTTATTTCATCAAGAGAACCGAAATTCAGTGACAGCGTCTTGCCTGGTACCAAGGTTGAGCATTAAGTCACCGATTCCGTCAGTTGCTGTGGTTGGGCCCTCTGCTCCAAGGAGGGATTGATCAGGGGATGCAGTGGAGTCCCATGTGTTACTGGTTGCCTTGGGGTGTGAACAATGGCAAAGAAACTCTAAAGTGACCTACTCTGCAGCAAGTTACATGTTGGACCTCATTTCTTTCCCATGAGTTGAACCAGCTGCCCCAGCTTTATTTCCAAATTTAATTTTCAAACATGTTTTGTTCGCTCTAGCGTGAAGGCTTTGTCTTTCTGAGGCCCCCAGCCCGGCATCACCCTTACACGTTTGGAACAGCAATGACATTTGTAGGGTGATTCATTTTATAAGGCACTGTCACAGCCGTCTCTTATTTAAGCCTCTCTGTCCCACGAGGAGGTACTTCAGGAAGGCACTGACATCCCCACTTTAAAGACAAGGGAGAGGAAACCCAAATAGATGAACTGACTCGTTCAGCTACTAAGGGCTATGTTCACGTCTCAAACCCAAGTCTTCTATGTTCACATACTTATCTCTATTCTCTTTTTAGTAAAAGCTTTCTCAAGTGTAGAAAATGCAACCACAAAACGAATTGCAATTCAAAACTTGCAGAAATAAATTGTCTATTTTGCTAATAGGAAAAAGTTGATCACTAATTAAAATCCAGTGTATGGAATATTTCACCATCAAATATTAACCTCAAAATTCTGCCGTCCTAGCATTAGATCTGTACACACCAACTTTTTTCTAGAAAAACACCTTATTATGGAAATGTTCAGACATACAAAAAGTAGAGATAATGAACTCCCATGGATTTATCACCAGTTTAAGAATTGTAACATTTTTGGTTAAGTACTTTGTGAAACACATTAAGATGAATATAATACACAAAAACGTTTAAACTGTTCAATGATTTTTGCCTATAAATGATGGTCTGACATCATCTTGTTTTTTTTTTTTGCAAAGTAATGAATTCTCTGGTTTCTAGAGACAACATTAAAACCTGAAGTTTTTCTCGGAGCTCTCTGAGCATTTTTAAAAAGCCAAGTTTTA